CACCTTCACCTCACAGAGCCCCTTCAGTCTCCCTCAGTCCATGGACTTGCACAGGGGCTCCCCTGCCTTTGGGTGGCAATTTCCTGCTCTCCTGAGGTTACTGCACAGGGATGCGCTTCCTCAATGGTCACCCCAGTTTGGCTGCCTTCAGGGAGCTGAGGAGGACAACTGTGGACCAGGGACTGGCATTCGTTGTTCAAGACACAGACTGCACAGAGTCCCTCCTAAGGAAGGGCTGATCTGGGATTCCAAGGTGTGGCCTGAGATTATAGAATATAAGGCACTTATTATGTTGAGGTTGTCTCCTTTCATTTCTAGTTTATTGAGTACTTTTTTAATCATGAAAAGAAATTGAGTTTTGTCAAATGCTTATCTAATAAGTTGAGATGGTAATGTGGTATTTTTAATTCATCCTGTTAATGAGGTTATTACATTGGGTGATTTTTGTATCTTGAACCATTCTTATATCCCAGGAATAAATCTCTCTCCATCATGGTGTCTGATCTTTTCAGTATGCTGATGAATTAGACCTGCTAATATCTGGTTGAGAATTTTGAATCAGTATTCACAGTGGGTATTGGTCTGTAGTTTTCATTTCTTTTTTTTTTTTTTTTTTTTGCGGTACGCGGGCCTCTCACTGTTGTGGCCTCTCCCATTGCGGAGCACAGGCTCCGGACGCGCAGGCTCAGCGGCCACGGCTCACGGGCCCAGCCGCTCCGCGGCATGTGGGATCTTCCCGGACCGGGGCACAAACCCGTGTCCCCTGCATCGGCAGGCGGACTCCCAACCACTGTGCCACCAGGGAAGCCCTGTAGTTTTCATTTCTTGTAGTGTCTTTGGCTTTGTTGTCAGGGTAATGTTGGCCTCATATAATGAGTTAGGAAATGTTCCATCCTCTTCAAGTTTTTGGAAGAGTTTGAGAAGAATTTGTGTTAGTGTTTTAAATGTTTGGTACAATTCACCTGTGAAGCCATCGGGCACTGGGCCTTTCTTTGTTGGGAGGTTTTTGTTAATGAGTCAGTCTCCTTACTAATTGTATGTCTATCCAGATTTTCTATCTCTTCATCATTCAGTCTTGGCTGGTTGGTAGGTTGTGTGATTCTAGGAATCTGTTTTGTCTAAGCTATCCAATTTGTTGGCAAACAATTATTCACAGTATTCTCCTATAATCCTTTTTATCCCTATAAAATTGGGTGTAGTGTCTCCTCTTTCATTTCTGTTTTTAGTTATTTGAGTCTCTCTCTCTCTCTCTTTTTGTCAGTTTAGCTAAAGGTTTGTCAATTTGTTGATTAAAAAAAAAACTACTAACTCTTGGTTTCATTGATTTCCCCGTTGCTTTTCTATTCCCTGTTTTATCTATCGCTGCTTAATCTTTATTATTTTCTTCCTTCTGCTAGCTTTGGATTTGGTTTGTTGTTCTTTTTCTAGTTCTTTAAGGTTTAAAGTTAGGTTGTTGATTTGAGATCTCTCTTCTTTTTGTTATTTCTTTTTGCCATACACGGGCCTCTCACTGTTGTGGCCACTCCCGTTGTGGAGCACAGGCTCCGGACGCGCAGGCTCAGCGGCCATGGCTCACGGGCCCAGCCGCTCCGCGGCATGTGGGATCTTCCCGGACCGGGGCACGAACCCGTGTCCCCTGCATCGGCAGGCGGACTCTCAACCACTGCGCCACCCGGGAAGCCCCTCTCTTCTTTTTAAATGTAAGCATTTATGGCTATAAATTTCCCTCATTGCTTTCATTGTGTAAGTTTTGGTATGCTGTTTTCATTTTTATTTGTCTCAAGATATTTTCTAATTTCCCTTGTGGTTTCTTCTTTGATCCATTGGTTGTTGAATAGTGTGTTGATTTTCATATATCTGTGAATTTTCCAGGTTTCCTTCTGCCTTAATTTCTAGTTTCATTGTGATCAGAAAAAATACTTTGTATGATTTCAACCTTTTAAAATTTGTTAAGACTTGTTTTGTGGCTAACATACGGTCTATCATAGAGAATGTTCTATGTGCACTTGAGAAGAAACCCTAAATATTCCACAGGAAAACTATTAGAACTAATAAATAAATTTGGTAAAGTTGTAGGATATAAAAATCAGCACACAAAAATCAATTGTGTTTCCATACATTAACAATGAACTCTCCAAAAAGGAAATTACCAAAACAATTCCATTTGCAATAGCATCAAAAGGAATAAAATTCTTAGGAGTGAATGTGACTAAGAAGGGGAAAGAGGTCTATAGTGAAAACTACAAAACGTTTCTGAAAGAAAATTAAGAAGACACAAATAAATGGAAAGACATTCTGTGTTTGTGGATTGGAAGACTTAACATTGGTAAGATGTGAATATTCCCCAAAGCCATCTACAGATTCAATGCAATCCTTATCAAAATCCTAACATTTTTTGTGGGAATGGAATAGTCAATCCTAAAATTTGTTTAGAATCTCAAGGGATCCCAGATAGCCACCAAAAAAAAAAAAAAAAACTTGAAAAAGAGGAACAAATCTGGAGGCTATACTTTCTGATTTCAAAATTTACCACAAAGCTACCAAAACAGTGTGTTACTGGCATAAAGACAAACATACAGACCAGTGGAATAAAATATTAATAGAAAACTAACAAATAAACCTTTGTATGTATGGTCAAATGATTTTCAATTATACATTTTCAAGGGTCCCAAGGTCATTTGGTGGGGAAAAGACAGACTTTTCAACAAATGGTGTTGGGAAAATTGGGTATCCACATGTAAAAGAATGAAGTTGGATCCTTACCTAATACCATATACAAAAATTATACCAAAATGAATCAAAGACCTAAAAGTAAGAGCTAAACTATAAAAGTCTTAGAATAAAACATTAGAAGGAAAACTTCATGACATTGGATTTGGCGATGATTTCTTGCATATGACACAGAAAGTCAACAACAACAACAAAAAGATAAATTGGACTTCAAAATTTAAAATGTACTTCCAAATTAAAAATGTTTGTACATCAAAAGACACCACTAACCTCAAGGAATAGAGGAAAATGTCTTCTAAAATTTTGCAAATATTGCAAATCATATACCCTAAGAGGAATTGCTATCCATAATAAATGATGAACTTCTACTACTCAACCACAATGAAAGCAAACAATGTGATGTGAAAAAGGACAAAGGACTTGAATAAACACTTCTCCAAAGAAAATATAGGAATGGCCAATAGGAACACGAAAACATGCTCTACATCACTGATCATTAAGGAAATGCAAATCAAAACCACAGTGAAATTCCACTTCACACTCATTATTATGGGTATAATTTTTTTGGCATGTGGGATCTTTCCGGACTGGGGCACGAACCCGCGTCCCCTGCATCGGCAGGCGGACTCCCAACCACTGTGCCACCAGGGAAGCCCCATGGGTATAATTTTTTAAAAATAGAAAATGAGTGTTGACGAGGATGTGAGGAAGTTGGAATGCTTTTGCTTTGCTGATGGGTATGTAAAATGGCACAGCAGCTGTGGAAAACAGTATGTTGTTTCCTAAAAAAAAATAAAGCAAACAAAAAAATAGAATTACTGGATAATCCAGCAATTCTACTTCTGGTTATATATCTAAAAGAATTAAAAGCAAGGACTCAAACAGTAATTTGTACACCCATATTCACAGCAGCATTATTCACAATAGCCAAAGGATGGAAACAACCCAAGATTCCAGATGAATGGATAAACAAAATGTGGTAATGTTGTAAATAAATTTACTACATACATATAAGTAAATATTCCATAAATGGGATATTATTCAGCCTTGAAAAGGAATGAAATTCTGACACATGCTTCAATATGGGTGAACCTTAAAGACTTTTTCTAAATGAAATAAGCAAGACACAGAATGAATGAATGTATGAATGTATGAATCCTCTTCTATGAGCTACCTAGAGCAGTCAAGCTCATAGTGACAAAAAGTATAATGGTGGTTACCAAGGGCTGAGCAGAGAGGAATGGGGAGTTACTGCCTAATGGATACAGAGTTGCAACATGGGATGATGAAAAAGTTCTGGAGATGGATGGTGGTGATGGTTGCATAACAATGTGAATGTACTTAATTGTACATTTTAAAAAGGTGAGGGCTTCCCTGGAGAGTCCGCCTGCCAATGCAGGGGACACGGGTTTGTGCCCCGGATCGGGAAGATCCCACATGCTGCAGAGCAGCTGGGCCCCATGAGCCATGGCCGCTGCACCTGCGCATCCCGCAACGGGAGAGGCCACAACAGTGAGAGGCCTGCGTACCGAAAAAAAAAAAAAAAAGTTAAAATGGTAAATTTTATGTTATGTATATTTTACCATATAAATGAATGGGAGAAAAAGGTATAAGCAAAGAAGAGATGTTTTCCCTCTCTCAGATGGGGAGGCATACAGTGATGCTGGTCTCAGAGACTTGGGGATTCAGAGGACGCCTTTGGCATCCTCAGTCTTCCTTGTGCCTTCACCCTCACTTGCCCCCTCTACCCCATACCCTGTCTCCCCAAATTGGCTGAAATTCTCTCCGCATCATGGCCACAGATGGCTCCCAAATTACATCACGTCATCTTAGTGACTAAAGAGAAAACAGAGGGGTTTTCTTGTGCAGAATATGGGTATAAATTCTCAAGAAAGGATTCTAAATAGCACCAGTTATTTTATGCGTTCATGTGGGATATTCTGATCAGCAGTCCTTCATGGACCATTTGGAATAGAAAATGAACCATTCCCTGGATTTTGTCTTTTAAAGGAGCAGGGGGAACCATAGTAGACAGGCAAAATTAGCAGCTTCTACAAAAGGGCTAATAATATTTTCATTGAAGGGTTGTGATGAGAGTTAGAGATGCTGTGTATTTTTTTTTTTTTTTTTTTTTTTTTTTTTTTTTGGTCACACTGCATGGCTTGTGGGATCTTAGTTTCCTGACCAGGGATTGAACCCAGGCCCCCGGCAGCGAAAGCCCTGAGTCCTAGCCACTGGACCATCAGGGAGTCCCAAGAGATGCTGCATTTTAAGTCCTGTAAATGGTAGGCATGCACTAAATGGAGGCTGCAGGAGTTACGTCTCCATAATTAATCTTGGAAGATGAATTTGAAAACCTATCAAGTCTTAGAAAACTGTCTTAGCTTTGCTGAATTGAACGTACATGGGGTCCTTACTATCGAGACTGTGTTCTTCATATACTACTTCCCACTAAAAGGCACCAGGCTCCTTGTAGAAATGGAGGATTCCAGGGACAGGGCATGGAAGGTAGAGGAGGATCCTGAAACGTCTTGAAATGTGCAGGCCAAGTCAAAAGACATAGGAGCCAGCTTGAAGGGTCTCTTCTGGCATATCATGGGTCACTTAGAACATCACAAAGGAAAACAACTGTACGGGGAATACAAAAAAATCCATGAGGTCCATATCACACTTTTCAAAAACCACTGGTCATTTTCAGAGCATCAACTCATTACTCTGGAAACTGCGAAAGAGAAGGAATAAAACAAATAGCCTATATATCAGGATAACAAAATAGTTGATGGAGGTATATTTTTCTTCATAGGTGAATTTCAGCTAATAAATGCAGAAGGTATGATAGATTAAAATCCCCTATTTTGCAACACCTAATAAAATAACAAATTTAGGGAACGGTTATCGTTAATAGCTGTAAAAACCCATGAGATGAACTTGACAAGGAAGTGGAGGAATCAGGCGGACACCACCTAAACCTATGGTTAATCTTAGAATGTGGGACAACCAGATGCTATGTGCACCAAAATGTGATGTGGTAGGAGGTGAATAGCACCGCCATTGATTCTAAATCTAAAAAGTCTCTAGATGCATCTGTTGGTTTGTGGGAAATATGGAAAAGAGAGAGACAATTGAATAGTAGGGTGGGAAATCATTAGCCAAATCTAGAATAAAAAAATTATCTTGTTTTTTAAAACAAATCAATGGCAGGGAAATGAACAGGAGGAATTATAAGGTCCAATTGTAAAACAGAACCCACCCAAGGTAGTTCAATAAGTGGCATTTAGGAGAGCTGTTACAAAGAGTGGAAAAGTGAAGAGGGCTAATGGAGAACAGTCACACCAGGAAGTACCATCACACTTCCTGGTGCAGCAGAGCCCAGGGTCAAGCTGCCCAGGAGTGTGGAACCCTAGGTGAGGGGCCACCTGATAATACATTCTTCAGGTAATATACTTTTTCTCTCTACTAGCTTATAAGATCTTTTATTTATTTATTTTTTCTGTCTTGGATGTTCTAGGGATGATTTCTCTAGGTATGATTTATTTATTTGGCTTGGTTATTAAGTTCTGAAAAATTCTCAGCCATTCTCCCTTTGAATATATTTCTCCTGCATTTCTTTAGTCTCTCCTTTTGAAATTCCTCTTATATGAAAATGGAATATTCCCACTGTCTCTTTCAAGACTTTTTACTGGCCTTTCGTATCTTCCATCTCTTTATCTCCCTCTTTGCTACATTTAGTGTGATTTCCTCAGATTTATTCTTCAAATCACTAAGTTTCTTATTGGTTGTGTTTAAGTTTTTGTTTCTCTCTCTCACTGAATTTTTAACCAAGGACTATATTCTTAGTTTCCAGGGAAGCCGGGCACCAGTTTTTCTATTAATGTCTCAGGTGGGAGATTCCTATACTACACAAATGATATGAATTCAGATCTCCTACTCTGTGCAGTATCAACCAAAGTGGTAACTTCTCAAGGGTAATTTTTTGCTGACTAAACTCCAAAGAAAGGCCGCTAACCTCTTCTCCATCTCTTTGTAGTTTGGGAGGACAGGGGACCCTGTGAGTCTCCAGGCCTCACACAGAGTAGTTGTTGTTCCTCTGTCCTGTCCGGGGCTGGATCATGTCTGCTGTCCTTTCAAGAGCATTCTAAATGCTGTCATCCACCCCTGTGGCCACTGCTGGTTCAGCTTTCTCCTACAATTCTGCCTTTACTGTTTGATCTTTGTTTCCATCTGAAAGAAGTGGGCCTTTATTTTTTGACACTTGGTTATGTAAGTCTTTTGTCACAATGTCTTATTCATTACTTCTACGTATTTAAAACCAGAAAGTGGCATCAGCTCAATCCACTGTGCTGCCAGAAGTTTCTAGTAGCAGAAGCTTTAAAAGGAAGAAATGTAATGATGAGTAGAGTATACACAGAAATATACATACGTCCTTAATTACCTAGATATTCAGTGCCTTTGCTCTGTACTCTGGGTATTACCACATTGGATAAAATCCCTGCCCTTAAAGGACATCACCTTGTAATGAAAATATACAGAAATGCACAGAAATAGTAAAGGAGAAATAAAGGGGAAGAAAGGAGAAAGTGCAGAATGTGGGTGTAAAACTCACACCTGAGCAGGGCTCACGATAAAGCCCTTCCCTCCGGGAGCACACACATGGCGAGGAGGGCGATAGCCAGAAAGTTCAACCCAAGTGCAGGAGATGCAAAAACATAGTACTTTGGTTGGCTGCCGTATTCTATGTCACTTCCGTCTGTGCAACGATGAATTGCTAAAGAAGTTACATGCAAGCGTTTTCAAACTTAATTACATTTTAAGTGTCAAGGGAATCTGTGTCTCAAGGCAGCTTTCATAGTGGCCTCTGCCATGCACAGCTGTGGTGTCCACTGGCCTCGCAGCTTCTTGTGACCCATCCATGATCACTGATGTCTGGCTCACTCTTACACCCCCAGCACCAGATACAGGACATGACACGTAAGATGGACTCAACAAACACCTGGCCACTCAATGAAACAACTACTCTCCAAGCCCGTGCACCCAGCTTCATGCATCACACATTATTCTTGGAAGGCCCTGGTGTTTTCCATCCTGCAGGATCCATAGGAAAGTGTCTTTCCCTAACCCAAGGCCTCCAACACCTTCATGTAAAGGCTGCTGAGTGGCAGCAGAGCATGGGGACTCTGGCTTTTCTCCACCCCACCCTCTTATTTTCTTTTCCAGTGAGAAGCTGCCAAAGTAAAACAGATTCATTCTACTCACAGGATCCTGAAGTGGCCTCCTGCCCTCCAGGGGACGCCCAGGTGACGGCCTGTTCCCGGGCCACACTGAGTGAGTGAGCCAGGGACCTGGAAGCCCAAGCGGTGGAGGGAGACCCCTAAGCAAAGCCCCCAACCAGCGATGGAAGTACTCAAGCGGAACAGGCACACACACACACACACACACACACACACACACACACACACACACACACA